TTCTCGTGGGTCCGAGATCAATAACTACGTCGGCTACACTACTTCATAATACAGTGTTGGCTAAATAAATGTAGCTCCGTAGCCCCAGTGTCAAGGCACTATCCCACCAAGCTGCGTTTATCCTCATCTTGCTAGAAGTAAACATGATACAACATATTGGAGATCGGGTGTGTCCTCCATCTGCAGTGCCATTAATGCAGAGGTACGAGCGTGTGTTGGCGTAGCGAACGTGTGTAAAAGGAGCGACCACGGTGCGCGGTGCTAAGTTAGTCTACCACTTTTAACAGATAGCAGTTATAAACGACATTTAATGAAAGATACATTTAAGTAACGTTTTGAGTTGAAGGTGGATGTGAGAGGGTTTCCACCAGTTTAGCGTTGCTGTGTGGGTATTGCGAGCTCTGGTCCGTCTTTATACTACGTATCGGAGGAATTGCTTCGTTTGTCGTGCGACATCATTGGAATCCTTTACGCTATCAAACGTTGAATCCCATCCACATTGATGAAGTGGAAACGGGCAATTTGGGTGGATTCCATTATACACATCGCAGGTGTCGTACAGTGCTGGCGGTTAGTAAACTGCCACCCTTGTTTTCTGACAGATTTTATCCGATAGGAGGCTTTATTGTACATGGATTTGACTAATGAAAAGCGCGCAGTAAACCGAAGCGGACGCCACTCGACGCAGGTCAATCGGCCAAGTAGGCTTGCTGCAATCGTGAAAAAGGTGAAGTTGAAGTTGGCCTCGTTGGCGGTTACTATACTGCCAATTCGACTAAAGGGATATCTACAGCTAGTTAGACGCTAGTATTCGGTTCAGTACTTCGTCTTAGCACCGTGACGCTCTAGCGTAGCGATGCAGCGCCTCGGCATCGACTGAATCAGCTTTTTAATGAGGTCGTGTCCGATCGTCGCCCAAGATGCCTGAATTGTTTTAATGAGGTCTTCTCTCGTCTGAAACTGCCGTCCTTGAGCGTAGACGGCACGCGCGAGTACTCCCCACATGTTTTCGATGGGATTAAGATCCGGTGACTTGGCTGGCCAGTTCATCACATTGACCTTTTCCTCCTTCAATAACGCCTTCGTGGCGGAGGAGGAGTGAATGACCGCGTTGTCCTGCTGAAAAATGCAGTCCCGACCGTACACTCGGTCAATGAAAGGCAGCAAATGTTCAGAGAGCGTGTAAATGTACCGCTCGCTGTTTTGATTGCCCTCCAAAATCACCAGTTCAGACTTACCACTAGCACAAAATGCAGCCCAGACCATGACACTCCCACCACCACTTTGGCGAGTAGAGTAGACTTCAGGCTCGCGGCGTAAATCGTGCCAATAGTACTGCATACAATCCGGTCCATCGAGATTGAACTTCTTTTCATCTGAAAAGACGCAGGCTCCCCATTTTTCCTCACTCCATGTCACCTTGTCACGAGCCCATTTGAGACGAGCCTCCTTGTGCTTCTTTGTTAGCACGGGGGAAGCTTTACGCTTTTCATATTTCATGTTAGGGTCGGCTTGTAGGATTTCACGGATCCTCCGTGTACTTACCGGTAGCTCTAAGGCCATTTTGAGCTCCGCAGAGCTCAGCTTGCCTTTCGAAGCTTCACGGAGCAGTCGGCGGTGAGCTGTCGGTGTCAACTTCTTGGGTTGTCCGGGTCTTTTAGATTTCGTGTAGCCTTTTGGATCGGTTAGGAGTGCGTGTACAACTGGTCGAGAGCGACGTACGCGCTGCGCTATTGCTCGCTCGCTTAGCCCTGCCTCGCGAAATACTATTATACGATGCTGCTCTTCTTGGGTGAGCTTGGTTCCTCTAGGCATGCTAGTAGTATCTTTACATGCACAAACGTATGTTAGTACACTTGTATGGTGCTGGGCATCGTTATATTAGAAGAACACGCCAAAACAACGCGTCCTTGGCTGCAAAGTACGCACCGGCAGTATACTAACCGCCAGCCTCCTCAAGCAAGGGAGGCGTTTTTTTTCTGTGGTGAGGGGAGGAAATGGCCGATTTACCTGAATCGAGTGGCGTCCGCTTCGGTTTACTGCGCGCTTTTCATTGGTCCCAAGAACGTGCAGAAAAACCTCGCATTGGATAAAATCTATCGAAAAACAAGGGTGGCAGTTTACTAACCGCCAGCACTGTATCAGTCCCAAATACAACATCCGCCATGTCCTTACAGCTCCATGGTACAGTGTAGCATCATTGGTGCCACATTGCTGGCAGTAACTAGCTGCAAGAAAGATTGCGTGTGTGATTTGCAGTTTGAAATGGGCTATAATAGATTTTTTTCGCAGCCATTTCATGGAATGTACATGTACGTCGAAGCACACGTAGTTTATACCTGCTTTGCTGGTTGAATTTGAACGAAGAAACGATAGAAAGCCACGAGCGGCTTTTGTTTTTAAATTGAATATTGAAAGAAGCAAATATACGCTGCTTTTACCTAGTAATCATTGAGCTAACACGGTTATGAATGAGCTGGTCCCTATTTGGTGAGGTGTTTCTTGTTCACGTTGACTAGCGACACATGCATAGGTGTTCCTAGGCGATCCTGAAGCTGTGATCTTCACCCGCTTACACTTTCTAGCCCTGTTTCATGTAGGTATTTTTAATCTGGTTACAATGTGCCCTGCAGAGTCATCGCAAAAGCGCTGTGAGCTGCGACCAGGGAACCCGAAAATATAATTTATATCAATTTCAAAGGACATCGAGAAATACATAACGCGCGGCAACCTAAGAACTCAGCAAATAAATAATTGGAGCGGGGACATTGCAAACGTAAATTATTAGTGAAATAAACTACCAAGCCTGGGTGAAGCCGCCTAAATGCAAGCATCCACGGTGGTGAAAGAAGATAGTAGGTTTTGTTGGGGTGTTCCTGAAGTTGCAGAATGAGCTAGAATATGCGATTCGGAGAAGTCGAGGGGCTCCAAACCAACCACAAACTGTTGGTAGTTGTTGTCCGGGAAAATAAATGTTGGGTCGTCGTACACCAACTTCGTAAATACATATTTTGCTGAAGCATTTTTCGTAAATAAATTATTGAGAGAAACAATAAACAGTAATTGGCAATAAATATATTTATCGGGTTCCCTGGCTGCGACAACAAGTTTGTTGTGCTTTCTGCCGCAAACCTCATCCATGCTTAGGGTAGATATGCGTTAGCTCATGTATAATAATTACGTATTCAATGATGGCGGTGGAGTTTTAATAGAGAAGAAGGTGTGTAGTAAACTGATTCAGCTATTGTCAAGTACTAATTGCGCAGGGGTTCTCCAATACAATATTATACGGAATTGACGGTGGGTCAGCGCAATAATAAAAAAGGGAAATTCCACAATTATCAATAACAAACTGAAGTAAGTATTGCAGTATTGCCTACAGCTCTGCGTCTTTTCCAGCTGAAGCAAACCTCGTCACATCCAATAAATCCCTGTTTGCATGCAAAAATATAATCAGCTCAAAATTGGCAGGCAACATGCATGTCCGCTAAGGTGTAAGCACCAGCTTGCACTGCGAGAATAATCGCTCGCATGCATTTGGTTTCGGGGATAGCTGCTTCAACAACTCGCTGTAGATAATATCACCACTGTCTCCTCCATGCTTAGCGCGCTTGCTTGGGCCAGCACGAAGAATATGCGTCGCGTAATCTTCCTTGCATGCCTTCCTCTTGCTACCACTGCTTAAGACCTCGAATCGCTTGACCGCTGCAGCTTCTGCAGCTGAAAAAACCCCATCGTTCATCATTGTAAGTTGCTTGTTTGTGGACTCTGAGGTAATGATTGGCTATCAGATTCATAACTAAGAGCTAGTGTGGACAATACAGACATCAAGATACGGTGCTGAGACGTCCAATTGTTTCGTAAGGCATCTAAAGTTTCTATGAGCCTACTTTTGTAAATGATACAGGAAATATTGGAGCAATATCATACTCAAAGTTTTTAAGAAAGTTGTAGTAATCCGTTTTTTATTTAAAAAAACTGATTATCGCGATACTGAAAATTTGTATTCAGACCCCTGTAATTGCGGCAGTTTGCGCGACGAACCGGCCATCGTGATATTGTGTTGGGAGCGCAGTGGGTGCAAGCGTGTACAGACTTGTGTGTGAAGCGACAAGCTTCGTTCAAAGTAAAAAAAAAACTCTTCAGCGATTATAATAGAAGATAATGTCCGTCTTTGATACTTCGACGATGCCATGTTAATTAAGCAAGTCAGAATGCCCTACTTCCAATCGCCATAGCCATTGTCGGCAGCTGTTTATCCCTCTAGCTTGCTACTGCGAACACTATGTCGACGCACTAAGGATCGCGAGTCTGTGATTGGTAGTGTGGGCTGCGCTGGTACATGTAAGACATTTGCAGCTTTCAGTCGCACTTTAAGATACAACGCACTTGTATGGATGAATATCATCAATTCTCCGACCCAACTTAATTTTAGTATTGGTTTTAATCACCAATCATCCATTTTTATTTATTAGACAACCAATCGCTCGGTCTTGACAAAATGATTTGGCCAATCCAAATGGTAAGGGCTAGGTTGGGCCTCATCGGAGTTGGCTCCGACATATCGGGTCGGAGGTGACACGCAAAATATGGATATGCTAATACAATGTTCAAGATGTTGACATATCACATGCATAAAGTGATTTCTCCGACTTCTCCGACCGGTGTAATCATTTCAGTACACTAGACTCAATTTTCGCAGTCTACAATTTGCTTACTGTTATACAAAATCTTGAGCACTACAGACGTCGACAACTGGCAGGCGGCAGCTCTAGCGAACTCGCTTCGTCATTACAATACATGCAACAGCCTGTGGGAGGAGACGTATTAAGAGTAATTACTGCTGAAGTATTATAAACTAGTAGTAGTATACTAAATGAACAGAGCAGTAGATAGCATTCATCAATCCCACGCGTTATTTATTTATTTACTTAAGCACTTCAACTCAATAGCAACACGGCGCCAACATTCTCCTGTCCCTCAGCATGCGTACCTTTCTACTACTGCTCATGGCTACGTCCACGTTGGCACCGGTTCCGAACGTGTATCTCCGTCTTACGCGGAACTTCCAGCTGGAGCAGCGCCACGCTGATCCACAACTCAGCCTTCCTGACCTCGGGAGTCGCATCCTCCACCTCCATGATCTCCATCTTGGCCTCTTCCGCTTAAACCATCTACTCTTTAATCGCGTCGGTCTCCGTCGCAGCCACGATCACGATCTGTGCGGGCAGCTCGGCAATACTTGCGAGGTGCAGACGCGCAGTAAAAGCAGCGACATCACCTGCATCGAACCCGTTTCGTTCACTTCGACCATCGTGTGCAGCCCCACGGCCAGGTCCAGGTCGCGACACCGCCACGAGATATCCGGCTGACGCAACACATCCAACCGCTCCACCGCGTTCCAGACGCCACCACGAATACACCCGAACAACCCCACCACGAATACACCCGAACAACCCCACCGTGCTGCAGATCCGTAATCCGGACCATCAGCGCCATATCCCACTCGCCACGCTACTGCCAGCACACCTGCACGTTGGCCCTCACGCATGTCGAACATCGGCCCGCTCAATGGCGCGTCCGTGAGTTTCCGCGTCCACGGACCAGAACGCCGACCACACGGCAGCGCTGTCAAACAACGCGCCGTCCACGTCCAGCTCGACCATCGCCAGCAGTGCCTTCCTCACCTTCCCGGCTCTCCACATCATCCACCCGCTGCCGCCGCCCCGCTGTTACCGTTGCTGCTGTGTCCGCCACCCGCACGCCGCCCTTTCGCGGACGTCGCCACCCTTGCTCACCACCTCATTCACTCTGCTCCCTCACGCCTCTTCCACTCTAGCTCGCCGCCGTCGCCACCATTGTCGCCACTCCACTCGCTCGCCGTCCGAACGATCTCTCCCTCTTTCTCCCTCTTTTTTTAACTTAGGAAAAGTGCAATTTTAAAAAATAAATGCATAAATTTTAACAAGTACATGTAGTATTTTTGTTTAAACCACGTTTTATGTAACGGTCGGAGGTTGTCGGAGGTCGGAGATTTTATGCTATGGATAGTCTGAACAGCTTGATTCCGTAAACGGATTTTGTGGTCACGGAGCTTAAAATGAAGCAAAGACAACAGGATATGCGGCCAACGTGTACAAAGCATCTTTCAAAGAAAAGAAAGTTTGTACTAAAGCCAAACTGGCTTCGACAAACAATCTTAAAATAAGATTAGATTTTTCGTAGCAGGCTGTGTACGCCGTCAAGAACGCAACTTTCCAGCTCTACCAGCTGATGCATGGAACACTCACACAAGCATAGCCAACATTTCGGCTGGGAACCGAACGGAGACCACACTTTACGTGGCTGTGGTTGGAGACGGTGGTGTCCACGTGTTTTATTTGCCGCTCACTTGGCAGTGTCATTCCGCCTAAGAGCTAAAACATACCACGACGACGCCGTCCAGAGCAAGCAGCACCGACACCCGTGCAGCATTCAACGAAGAGCCCAAGCACCGACCGCTTTGAGAGCCAAGATCAACAACTTGCACAAGTAGTGAGAAATGTACATGCACGTTCATTTGAGGTTATGAAAAAATGGCCTCCTGCGCCTTAAGTTCGTACTCATCTACCGCTTCTGGTGGTTGATGTAGCGCAGCGCAATGAGTCCGACGACGCTGTAGAGAATGATGCAGCCGATCAGGATGAAGAAGAAGTGCGTGATACTCTCGTGCTCGTAGCCAAAGTACTGTTCCGTGTACTCCTTGACGGTGATGTGGCCCACCGTCACGGGGGAGTCGGCCATGGGCTGGCATCCGATCTTGGAGCCCCCGTTCTCATACGACTGCGTCGTCTCGTTCCACGTTGGAAGGTCGTCACAGTCCGCAAACACCAGCGCCTCCAGAATCGAGAGAGGGAATCGCAAGGGGGAAATTCGGTACAGCCACGTGTAACCGGACGGGATCGAGTAGGACGGAGGACTGTAGCCCATCCCCATCATCGTGACGGGATTGAAGAGAAGTCCGAAGATGGACGCGGTTTCCTCGGACGGCAACAAGAAAGCGAACATCATTCCTTGGTACACTTGCATGAGAGCCAGCAGCGAGATCGTCAGCCAGAACACGACGCCAGTCCAGAAGCCCGTGAAGCCCACCATGGGGTAGAACACAACCGTGAAGAGCAAGCCACTGCAGAAGCAGTAGGGGATCTCAGCCACGGTCGAGCCCACAAAGTACCACAGCGCATTGTACGTCTGCGACGCGCGTTCCCGGTAGTACGACGCTCGCTCGGAGCAGGCAAGCGGCAGAATACTCTGGAACGTCATCATCGCTTGGAAGAGAGCACCCATGTAGACCATTCCGACACCCGAGTTTAGACCCGTGTACGACGCGTAGTCAGCGTCGATAAACACGAGACCGATGACCAGTGCGAGGAACACAGCGAGGCTCATGCGCGTGAGGCTGTAGCTCGGAGTTCGCCAGTACATCTGGATGAATCGGGTCACGACGAACTTCATCTGCGTCGCCGAGTTGGCTGCACATTTGTCGGCGAAGATCATCTCTGGTAGGTCCGGGGAGGGCGCGGTGATGCCTTCCTTGGCGAGGTTGTTGTGCAGAGCCTCACTCAGCGCGCTGCCGTTGAAGTAGTTCACGAAGTCCGTCTGGTTACCCGCCGCGTTGTTCACACCGGCGCCAATACATTCCAGCATCCACGTCGCGGGATTGTGTAGCCAAGAGGGAGGGAAGACACCCCCAGGATACCTTCGAAGTACTCGATCAAGTTACAGCAATCGCGGCCCAAGTCTCCGTAGAACACCGTCTCGCCTCCACGCTTCAGCAGCAGCAGACTATCGAACAAGAAGAACACTTCGGCTGACGGCTGGTGGATCGTGCAAATGATGGTACGTCCCGAGTCCGAACACCGTCCATAATGAGCTTCGCCGAGCGAGCGTCCAGTCCACTGGAAGGTTCGTCCAGGAAGATGACACTCGGCTGAGCAGCGAGCTCCACGCCGATAGTCAAGCGCTTCATCTGTTCGACTGAGCTGCCGCGGATGATCTGGTCCGCGATGTCCTCCAAGCCCAAGAGCTCAATACACTCGTTGACCGAGTCGTACTTCTTGTCGTCCGAGATCGAGGCATCCTGACGGAGGAACGAGCTGAACGTCAACGCCTCGCGGATCGTAGCAGCCTCCGAGTGCACGTCCATCTGCTCACAGTAGCCCGTGCACCGACGGATGGCGAGGTCGTTCGCTTCGTAGCCGTTCAACAGGATTCTGCCGGTGATCTTCCCGCCAGTCTTACGTCCTGCGATCACGTCCATCAGCGTCGTCTTGCCTGCACCCGACGAGCCCATGAGAGCTGTGATGGACCCGGGCACAGCAAACCCGTTGATCCCCTTTAGCAGCTCGAGAGATTCCTTGGGGTTGTGGGGATCCGGCACGAAGTAGTGAAGGTCTTGGAAAGCCATGGTCACTGGCACGAAGATCTTCTCCTGAGCGGTCGACTGAACGTCCACAACGCAGTCCTCCGTCGCCGCTGATATGTTGTTCTTGGGCGTCTCCATCCTCGTGTAGGTTTCGTCCTCGATGGGCTTCTCGGACACGTCGACATTCTCGGGGGTCTCGTAGCGGAGGAATTCAAGTGCAAGACCCGACAAGATCATGAACACCACGTAGATAGCAGTTATGTAGATAATACCGTAAGTGACCCAGGATTTCTCCGTGTCCAGACCAAACAAGTCCAAGTAGTACTTGCCCATTGTCATCCCATACTTCGCACAGTAGTCCACGCCATCGTAGACGCATACATCCATGCCACTCGACCGGTATTGGTTGATGGACAACGCCTTGATACTCCAGCTCATGGGACTAATCCAGTGGGCCCAGATCAAATAGTCCGGGATCTGGTCCGTCGTCACAATGAAGCCAGCGAAAATCACGAACACGAGGATGGAGCACATGTTCAAAGGCGTGACGATGTTCGCGTTGGGACCCACTGAGCTCAGGAAGAAGAACCACATTCCCATTGCCAGGTTTGTGAAGAAGAGAACGATCTCAAAGATGAGGAACAGAGACGCATCGGCTTCAAAGCCGCACAGAAAGTAGACGAGCACTCCGAAGATGACCGTCTCGCATAGAACTAGTGGAATTTGACTCGCTGAGTTGGCAAGAACGTACGACGCCGTGCGGAAGAAGCTGGCTCCTCGCTGTTTGTAAAAGATCTCACGGTCAGCCATATACGTTGCGATCTGGGATGAATGGCCCATGGACACAAACATAACAGAGGATAACACAGCACCCAGCACCACAGAGACCTGCGTGGGATCAAAGTCGTAGAAGATGGTGCAGTACAACAAGCCCATGACTGTGATCATGAGCACTCGTCCAAGAATGAAGGGCTTGTTCCGGTACAAAACCATAGCCTGGCGTCTCAGCAACGTCAAGGTGCTTTCGACGAACGATTGGCTGAACATCGGCATCGCTTTCATGCTCTCATTAGCACATCGCAGCAGCTCCTGATCATATGGAGCTTCCAAAAAACGAAGCATCTCCTGGTGAATAGCCGTCAAGCGAAAGGCTTCCGCAAACTCACCAGCCGCACGAGGTTGCTTCTTAGGTTGATGAACTTGGTAGCGATACTGCTCCTACGTACCCAGATCCAGGAGATAGTTGGCAATATCGCGTCCTGGAGGACATTTGAAGCCCAGTCCTTCGAAGTACCCCTCGACTTGGCTGCAGGGACCATGGTACATAAGCTCACCCTCGTTCAAAATCATCACATCGTCGAACAATGAGAACACCTCGGGGGAAGGCTGAAGCAGTGCTATCACAATGTTCTTGTGCAGCTTGTGCGCGATACTACGTTGCGTGCTGATGATATCGTACGTAGCCGCACTGTCGAGACCCGTACTGATCTCGTCCATGAGCGACACATACTTCATGCCAAATTTCATCTCACCCGTCGTAACGCGCTTGCGCTCTCCGCCAGAGATACCTCGAGTCATGGCGTCACCAACGATCGTGTCTTGGCAGTTTTTCAGTCCAAGTTGCTGAAGGATGACGTCCGGGTAGTGTGGAAACATGGCCTTAGCCGCCTCAATCGCTTCCTGGTTTTCCTGGACAGAGCCTTGCGAGAGCAAGTCTGCGTTGTGTTTCAACAACGTACTTCCACAGAATTGGTGGGCGAACTCCAGTGTCTCCTTCACTGTCAACATGGGGAAGTGCTTGTCACGCTGGTTCACGTACGAAACGAATTGAGGCAAAGGTTGGATGATCTGTTCTCGTTGAACGTTGTTGAAAGTCACGCCGCCTTCCACCGTGATGTTTTTCTCAATTGGAAATCTGCCACTCAGTATTTTCATGAGAGACGACTTGCCGGAACCAGGCTGACCCAGCAGCAGCGTGATCTCGCCCGGAGCGAAGACACCGCTAATGTTCTTGAGGATTTCTTTGCGTACGACGCGTTTCTTGGGCCCGACAAAGGCCTTCTTTATCGTATTGGGGATCGTTGGCAGTTCGTACTTGGCTCCAGAATTGTCCACCACGACAATGTCCGCGGACACTGACAAATTGTGGAAACGAACGTCCATTTACGGCATCTGATGACCAAGGGCCTTCTCGATTTTCTCAGCAACATGTTCGTGCAAGACTTGAGGGCCTTCAGCCATCAGTGCATCTGCTGAGTCGTACCCAAGTTTCTTGCATTCCGCCATCTTGATCGAGTCTTGGTCGGAAGCAAGGAACTTCGAGAATGAGCTATTCGAGATGATTTTTAACATAAAAACGAGGCAACAACAGCGTACATTATGTGCCAGGCTGGAGGGAGACACATAGACGACGAGAACAATCAGGCAGTGAGAAAAGAACTAAGTACGAGCGTATAACGTGTCCATGATCAGATAGTAATCCTTGTGCTATTCTTGTACGCGATTGGCGAGCCAGCGATGATTACTTTGGACAATGATTTACAACTGGTTGCACTTGCCATCAACATTTGGCTGATGATGCCAAGCTAGCAAAAAGGGGATACCGGTAGATGGCGTGCACTCATTTGCCTATCTTTCGTCATTCACCAGAATATCAACAATAATCATACTAGTAATAAGGATTCCGTTGGATTATGGTACGCCGATGTAATGAGGTTGTCTATTTTTTTTAAAAGGTTTTACATGTATTTTTACCAAGGATAATGCACTTATGCCGTTGCAACCAAACAACGCGTGGCTCTCGATTCGAGACACACTCATGTTCACGTTACACCCCTTTCATCGGACTGAATTCTCAGCAGAAAACGACCAATCCGGCATAAGACTCATTGCTGATCGACTATTAGATGCAGCTCTTCATACGCCACACGCACGATGCATGTTGGCATCATCGACATCGTGAGAGTATTATTTGGGTCATCGATACGAGCTACAGCAATACTAAAGTCGACTCACAGAAGCAATCTGATTCCAGTTTCTTAACTGGGTTTACTAACACTACGCGAAAACCAATTTATGGTACATTTTATTCTGTTTCATTTCCGCGTAGTATTTTTATTTTATAATCAGATATTTTGCTTTGTTTTTAAGAGAATCTTTTTTAAAAGAGCTGAAAAGCAATTATTTGGTTTTCAAAATTATTTCCTTTGCGTGAAAAAGATCTATCCATGGCCGGCCATGGTCGCCGCAAGAAGCGTCGCGTGACTGCGCCGACGCCACAAGACGAAGAAGCAGCTCGCCTCAGGTTCCTCGAAGCTCTAGAAGCGCAGCGAGCCAATGCTCGGAGCCAAGAGACCAATAAATCCGCTGAAACTCGGGGTGTACCAACCCCAGCACCTTCACTACCTGGTTTTTATTACGACGAGGACAAACGGCGCTATTTTCGAGCATCTCCAGCATCTGAGCGCCAACGCCGCGATGAAATGGAGCTGCAGCGACTGCAAAATCAGCAACACGCACAGCAGAATCCCACAGTTACAGTGAAAACACGTCGTGGGCTTGGAGTTCGTGGCCACTCTTGGGTGGACTACATGGCCAGGCGACAAGCGGACTATGCGTGGAGTGCCCAGCGTCGTGACAGTCGGGAATTGATACCCAAAATGCTTTCAGGGTTCCTGGTATTTTGGGTGTATATTTATTTTTTATTTGAAAATTAGCCGAAAAGTAATTGTTGTGACGTGGATTACCAGTCTTCGCAGGTGGTGGAGTCCCAATGCATGAACCAAAACGGTCGACTCACAGCGTTGGCACTCCATCCTCGAGCCAGCGATCTTGGAGCAGTTGGAGGTACGTTTGGGAGAGTTGGGGTCGTTTAAAATAGTAAATAACTTGCCCGGTTTTGCTGTTCTACTGTAAAGCGAGCAATGGGTCGTTGAAGATCTTGGGTGTGCAGAGGATGACATCAACACCAGCTCAGCGTGCTCTTACCATCTGCAATTTCCATGTTCCAGCAGTTATTACGTCATTGCAATGGCGTCCAGTCCAGGAAATCGGTATTCTCGTGTGCCATCTCGGACCTGATCGTAGAAGCACGACACAGTCGCCGTCTGGTAGCGTGTGCTTTATACGCATGGGGGCCCAGCAACCTCGAGGAGTCGCATTGGTGTCAATAGCACACAAAAAGGTAAAGTTCGAAGTGGGATCTTGTGTTTACTATTATTTTATAACATTATTTTTTATGATAACTAGGAAATCGATTTTGCTGATCCATGGACAGCGAAATGGTTGGGGTTATGAGTGCTAGCCTGCTTAAAGTCCTATGTTGAACTTGCTCTAACCATTTGTGTGCTACTTGTGGTCACTAGGAATCCCACCGACCCTAGCAAGTTCAGCGTCGGATATGGCGGGTACGAGCACTAACGAAAATATTTAAAATCTAGAGTATACTCACTGAGTTTGTGGATTTTCAGGTCGTCGAAGGCTGCCTACGTGGATATAGCAGCCGAAGCCCGTATTCTTCAACGTGCGCCGACTGGGGCTATAACTAGCGATGTGCACGCTCAGAGTTTCTATTCTACGGTTCGTGTTATGCTGCTTTAATCTGCTTGTGCTGTTTATAATTACTAGTTTGCTAATTTTTGAACTATGCAGGGCAATGTTGTGTTGAATGGGACGAAGAGCGGAGGTCTATGGGGTTGGGATCTTCGTGCACCTAGCCGAGCGCTCGAATGGGAAGGAGAAGCTACGCCAGACCGACCTGCAGGCGCCGTCCTCGACATTCACATGCTGAGCGACTGTCGTAGAGCTGTAGTGCAGCGATCAAATGGAGAGCTTCGGGTTGTGGATCTACGGACGTCGAAGCCGGTGGTGGAGCTCATGCCAGGTGCAGCGAAACGATATCTGCCAAATCTTCGCTGTGCTATTGACAAATACGAGTCCGTTGTGGTGGCTGGAGGTGATGCACGTCGGCCATTGGCAGTCAACAGCTTTAATCTCCAAGACGGGCGTTGTGTATCGTCACTTGAGGTGAAGGATCCCCCACTACTGCAGAAGCGCTCGACTATGTTGCAACAGGTGCAACTGAAGTCTGGCCACTACGGAACTCGCTACGAGAATACACCTGAGATTTGGGCCTTATCTCGCAACGAGCTCTACATTTGCAGTGGACGAGTCGATAAATGATCATGCGATGAATATTGAGCCTAGCGTTAAGGTTTTTTTAAAGAACATAAATTTTTCTCCTTGCGGAAATGCATCTTTACTGGTATTAACAATGTACAGCACAATAAAAACACGTCAAGCTTGTAGCTGAAGGTACCTTATTTTTCAACGCCTTCATAAACTACTCCGTACTGTACACAATTGCATGCCCCCCCCCCACCACCACCCTACGCTTGCGGAGCAACTAGTGACTTTTTTTACTGGTAAAATCCCCGTTAAGGATAAGCATCAAACTAAAGTAGTTGTAATTCTTGTGGACTTCATTACTTACTACTAGTATGTAGCAGATAAGACAGACCGTCGGCTGGGAGACCTAGCGCCTCGGATCATTGAAGGTGAAGACAGGAGGAGGAGCCATCTTCTTGTTGTAGTATGACGTGTATCGGGTAACAACAGCAATGTCTAGAGCGCCAGCAGACGCTGCGTCCACCTTGAGGAACTTCGTGTAAATGCTTTCTGGCTCGATATCGTTTCTGAACCAGCGCTTAAACAGCGCCTTTTGATACACAGTGCCAAGATAGGTGGCAGTGTCCACATTGTACATTTCGAGCTTCTCCATCATCGCAACGATCGTTCGTGCCAGTCCGCCTTCTCCACCGAAGCTGTTGCTGACCACCGTGAACACATCAGTGTTCTCTCGGGGGTTCACAGTCTTGAGAGCCGTGATGTATTCGCTCAAGACCTCCAACTTTGGGCTAAGTTGTTCTAAAAACTCATTGGAGTTAATCTTTAGCAACTTCAAAACATCGTCGGCTGATTTTTTGCTCGTGAGCCACTGGTTGAACTGCTGAATCTGCATACTCGAAGCCAGGTCTTTCGTGGCATCATTAGACCTAAATTTAAAGAGTGTCTTCGCCACCACATCGTCCCCGTAATGGGCGGAAATCGTCCCAATCAATGATGCCTTGCTACTTGGGTTCCTTGAGTTGTACTTCAAGATGAACGCGGCTAATGTGGGTAGGGTTTGGCCGAATAGGGTATCTTCCAAACTGCTGTCCACACTAAGTCTCTTCAGCACGCTTTCAGGCTGCATTTTGCTTGCCATCCACTTGTTGAGTAGCGCATTTTGCAACGCTGCCGCCAGTTCGCTTGTACTGGCATCGTCTTTTGCGATCAGCAGTATCTTGGCCAGTTTATCTTCTCCACCAAAACCCTTCGTTAAAGTCTGGAGTACCGTTTCCTTGCCTGAATAAGTGCGGATAACAAGTTTCAAGTAGTCATCCAGTACCTCCATCTTCGGACTCGCAAGAGCTTGGTACCCATCCTCGCGAAGTCTTAGCAGCGTGAAAACATCATCAACAGATTTCTCGCTGGCCAACCAATTCGATAGCTGGTCTTTTCGTAATTGACGAATCGTATTGAATGCACCCTTTGTCTGAGCATCCTTTTGTGCAGTCACGAGTGCTTTTGCCACTTCGTCATCTCCGTAGTGTCGTGTGAATACTCCAATCACTGACATTTGGCTGTTTTGGTTCCTCGTGTTCACTTCTCTCACGTAGCGCTCCAAACTCTTCAATCTAGGGCTGAACAGAGCTGATTTTATGCCATCCTTTAGCTGAAACACACTTAGAATTTCGTCGGCCGATTGCTCCCCTGCAAGTAAGGACTTCCAGTCCACATCCCCATGGACCTTTGATGCCCCCGCCATCACCACACTCTTCAGCTTTTCAATAACAGCATTCATCATTCTGTCTTCACTTCTTTTGTCATTTGCAACAGAGACTCTTAGTAGCCTACTGGACGAGATACCAACTTGATTACCAGGCAACATTCGGAATTTCGCTGGTGAATTAGCAGTCGTTGTTTTCGACAAGCCACACACCGCGGCATTTTCGACGGAAGACAGGAGGGCTGCCATTATAGCTAACAGCGTCGCCGAATAAAGTTGCATGTTTCGGCGAGCTAGTAGCCCGGAAATCGCAAAATACATGCTATTATGTAGCTCTTAATTGTCGGATTTTGCCTACTCATTAATGACAATAGAAATAGCCAATCAGGACATGTCATGTGCTTGCTGACAGCATAGTAAGTGCAAGATTACACCTGATCAATTTTCGATTGTATGTTTTTTGTTTAGCGATAGACAGCATTCACATCAAGAGTGCATCACAGATGGAATACGGTAATTTGTTACATGTATAAGACATGATGTATTTGCCATACCGGTATTTGGTATAGAGACTGCAAATCTTTAGATCAACTGGATAGAGCCAGGTATCGAAATCGCGCGAGTTAAGCCGAATTGACCCTCGATCCAACTTAACTCGCGCGCGTAAATCTGAATCAGCCCTCGACTCAACTTAACTCGCGCGAGTAAACGTGAGTCTTATGAATCCACATCAGCTGTTAGCAATCAATCCTACTTAACTTTTCTTGCTACACTGAGTTTTAAATGTGGCTAAGACAGCCAATTCGTGGATTAGTGTCGTAGATGCTTCATTTCAAACGCAGCTATTTCCTGCTCAAAGTGAAGTTGTGCATGCGTTTCAGGAGCAGTGGCAGTGCATATTTGCAGTTCGCCATGCACCTGTGTGGGATGATGCCGCACTGGGAGGGGGGGGGTAGATAATGAATGAAGCGGAATGCTGTGGAGCTTGCAGTATATGGATAAATGTACAGGATATCCTTTTGTGAACACCAGCTTACTTAATATTATAAAAATACATGTTACAATGGGGCTGGCTCTGCACTTGTACTGTCCCATCCCATAACCCATATGGGGGCGATCTGTGAATAAGTTTGGGGAATCTGCGATGACAACGCATCCAAAAAAAAGATCGCACCTCAGCTTTGCTTTGACTTGGTATTTCCGGGAGGTATTGTCCGGCTCTCCTGTGGAAAGGCATTATTTTATGTAAGAGGTCGTTACCAGCCGCGCTTCGCTTGGCTGTAGCACAGCAGTAGCAGTGCATATTTGCGGTTCGCCATGCACCTGTGTGAGACGATGCCGCACTGGGAGGAGGGGGGGGGGTAGACAATGAATGAAGCGGAATGCTGCGTAGATTGCAGTAATACATGTATACTATTTGATATCCTTTTGTGAACACCAGCTTACTTAATACATGTTACAATGGGGCTGGCTCTGCACTGGTACTGTCCAATCGCATAACCCATATGGGGTGGGGGGTCTGTGATGACAACGCATCCAAAACACCTTGTTTTGCAGGATCGCACCTCAGCTTTGTTTTGACTTGGCATTTGTAAGAGCAGCCGGGAGGTATTACCCGGCGAAGGCCTTAAATAATGTAAGAGAAAACATTATACAGTAAACACACGACCAACACAACAATGCCGGGAAGATTAGACCACAAAAAGACAGAAATCAACGGCCTTTTTAGTAGCTCAGCGCTTGTACCACAGGGCTCATCGCGGCGCATACTGTACCTTGGACGGCACAAAAGTACCACATAAGTAATCGTAAAAAGTAAGAGTGGAGTAAATGAACTGTAATGAAACTTATAATTAAAGTAACGTTAGGATCGTACTACTTTTTGCAAACGACCTGCATATCTACTCCTCGTATCCTCCAACGGTGTCAGCACCGAGGACTCCGTCTCTGCAGTCCAGAAGTCGCTGATGCGCGATGCCCGGCTTGAGTCTGGAGGAACCCCCTTCAGAAGAGTTATGCGCAGGAGACCTGATCGAGTACTACAGTTGTCGTTTTGTGTGCGGCGATTCTCGTGGCCTTCTCGAGTCTGTCGTCTTGGCTGTCGACGACAGCCCAGACAACCTTCTACCCGTGAGTCTGGATACCGGGGAGGCGTTGCCCCTTTCAAACTTTATGCGTCGTCGACGGGACAGTGCAGGCAACGATCTCAGCATCGAGGAAGTCAAGTGGCGGAAATTGAGAACGTACAAGCTAAAGCCAAGAAAGGTCCGGCACCCTACCCAAGCCAGCGCACTCAGAAAAGCTTTAAGTGCTGCAGTCGATGCAGTGCGTGAAGATCTGCGATCCGAGTCTGCGGAAACATCTTATCGACACTCCCTACGAGGCGGCGAAATCAATTTAGCACGTAGTAACCGATTATCTAATCATGAAACAGCCCCAGCTCTCTGGAAACTGTCATCAATACGCAAACGAAATGTGGAGCAGCTGCAAAAGGTAGTGAAGAGCACACTGTATGCGAGGAATTTCAAGCTGGACTTGGTTGACCCGACGTATAGCCAAATCGATGAAATCTTCGGCGGTGATGATGCAGCGGTTTCCCCTGCTTCGCACACCACGTGTAAAGAAGGTCTGGAGTTGGAGAAGACGGGTGAGAGAATAATCGAGAACGCGGAAAGCGTTAAAGATAGTGTTGACGGGGATTTAGCCGATGCCGAACTTCTTGCAGCCGATACCTACATCAGTTTCGTTCCTACACGTTGGATGCGTGAGAAGACCCGCCATCCAGCAAAGAAAAGAAGCGGTACGTGGTCTGTGCCTCGCTCACGCAAAAGAAGACACCAAACGAAGTGCGCAATCACACGCAGTGGATCCCAGATCTACCATACCCACTCTTTTAAGGCTCAGAAAGCGAAGGCCGTGTTGCGGCTTCCTGGGGTTAAATCTAGGCTGCGCAATTTGCATGTTCGTCGACCAATTTACGTCGAGGCTACTGAAGACGACTCCCACACCCCGTCAGAAGTCCAATGGCCCGAGGGAGTTGGAAAAATCAACGAATGTTTGAGCCCAACAGGGATAACGTTCAAGGATATATGCGATTGCGGCCTCTGTGGTTGTATGGGGGATTACTTCATGGACAGTTGCACAAATGTATTCGCGGCAGTGTACTGTACACCTGATTCGTGCAAGTTGAACACAATTTGTAGCAACTCACCTAAAACTCGATGCACCCTGAAATTGTACGACACTGGCCGTGTAGGCCTTGGTGTGTTCACGACCACCGAGCTAGACGTTGTGGATGTAGTTGGTGAGTACGTTGGCATGCTGTACGAATACGAAGGCCTAAGAAAAGGGCAACCAAATTAAGCGCTGAAACCAAACGGTGGCTACACCATGTTGTACAACAACCTGTCATCTACCGGCAAATACGTGTACGTGGAGGCACTACAATATGGTTCGATAACCAGGTTTATAAGTCACGTGCGTGAGCCCAATACTGCCTTCGTCGAAATGCAGAACAGATCACACGTAAAGGCGTTAGTGACGATGACAAAAGACGTGAAAGCAGGCGCCCAGATAACGGTGAACTATGGATCGCAGCGGTGGTTCAAGTGCGCGTGATGTTTGCTGGTTCCAACACGATAACGAGATTGAGGGCGACAAGTCTAGCTAGAAATATACCGATTTTGTTCCATAAAAAAGAAATCGGAGGTTTCCTCGTATGAATTGAACGCATTAAGACATGTAGAGTAGAAAAATACCAATGGTAGTAAACGACGTGGAGACCTACGACTCTGGACGCATGTAGACTACATGTTAATATGCATATTGGGAAAAAGTTGTTTTTAACCAAAACACATAAAAACTTATTTGCTTCAACAGTCAAGTGTTGACGATATATCGTTGTATTCACTTTAAAAGCAACGGAGATGGGATCAATGCCTCACGTAGATAATGTGCTTCTTCATTCGTCTGGATGAACGGGACAAATTTGAGGGCATACTTAGACCTCATGGGCCTTCTGGGTTACTGATAAGAAAGTGCTGGGCCTGCCAAAGGAGGCCGCCCCACAGTGTTATCCTGGTGATTGCTTCCCCGTTGCGCTTGTTCCTGTTTACTTACCTTTCTTCCCCTGCAATCAACGGAGTCGGTCGTACGCAGTGCGTACACAACGTGTACACACACACCGAACGCAAAACAGTAGCCGCACGGACACCACTTCGACAGGAGGTCAGCGGCCAGCCGCCCCATGGCTGGCCCTCAACTTCCATTCGAGCGTAATTGACGCCCATCTGAGCTGGTACCACTATTCTCTTCTCTGTTCGTTTGTGAGGTGAAGCTTGAACACGCTTCGCTAATAAGGACACAACACGAGGCACAAGAGGTCTTCCAGTATACGCATAGTGAGGTGCCATGCCTTGAACTGTCCCTATCAGTTAGCTCACACCATTTCGGATGCCCTACGTGTGAGGGTCTCTGGTGTTGAGATGTCGAAGCTGAACGGGCGAGCGGTTTGTGACAGATCGTGACAACAGCCACTAAGTTCCCGCAGCAGCGTTCCCATCTTTAGTCTGCGCCGTCGAGTGTAGTCTCTTTTCAACAATGCATTGAAGGTTTCAGCTGGGTTATTAGTGGAGGCGAATCCACTAGGAGTGCGGAGCGCCTACCACGCTGAATATTTCCCATACAACTACCGGTCCTTCATGTAGCCCGCAAATTTACAGAGGTGTACATTGGAGAGCCACGTGGAGTAATCTTGCTCCCGCAGCTGGAAAAATCGGGGTTCATCGCGCACGAAGTGAAGATCGTAGATAGAACGAAGTATCCCAGCCGAGACAGCCGAGGGAAAGCTCTTAATTGCTTTCATAACGTTTTAATAACGTGAAAAAAAACACTAGAAACTGAAACTCAGGGTTGTGCCCGAACACGCGGTACAGAGCGTTGTACTGCGCTTTGTCAGCGTCGGCCATCACGTAACACACTACTAGCTACCTCTGGGTAAGAACGTTGAACATTCGGCGTAACGATAGCAGAGTAGTTTCAAATGCCGCTTGAGTTTCTTGTGATACTATAAATATAGCAGCGATGTGAAATCCGCGGGCGCAGTCAGAGATGCCGACGACCACGACTGGATAGCCGCGATGATTGGTCTTGTAGGCTGCGTCGATATGTAAAATGAAAGCGTGAGGTGATTGCAGCATTCGTAACATCAACGCCTTCGCAGGTATTCCAACATCGAATGGCTTCTCGTCGGAGCCGTCTCCAACTATAGGTTTTCCTTTACG